AGAAAAAGAGTATTTTCGGGAACAAGCCGCAGCCACGGATGGACGTCAGGGGATTCAAAAACGACATAATAATACCAAAATAATTTACCTTAAATGTACAAAACGTTTTTTCTAATAATGAAAATAAACATATGGTTATAGTTATATACGTTCTGAGCGTTATAGAACACCCCTAATTTTAGGACCACTTGAACATGGATAGAGTGGGGGCCGCTAAAGTTATCTCTCGAGCAGCATGCGCAAAGCTGGCGTATGTTGCGCAAGCGGTAATTAAATTTTAGCGCACCCCACGGTTCTCATGTCGTTCTAGAATGTACTTATTTAGGGGTTTTCGATTATGCTCAGCAAGTTCCTATAGCATGTAAGCTAACGCTTTTAAGGCACTTCAGACGGCGCAAGCGGATGGTGAAAGTTTACTTGAAAAAAATATAATGGAAGAAACCTATCTCGTTAAAAAAATAGCTGTTTTGAACAATTTACGCTGCCGCTTCGCAGACGATGCACGCGTAGAGAGAAGTGCTGCCGACAGATGGCGTGCTCCGCAACGAGGAAGCGCTGGCCGATTCGGTTTCTTTTGCGATACCGTCTGCTATCAACCCAAACACGCCGGCCCTCCCTCTACGCGGCGTACGCTATCTGTCGGCGGCACTTCTCTCTACGGGTGCATCGTCTTCGAAGTGGCGGCGTGAATCGTCCAAAACAGTCTTATTTTCAAGGAAGTAAGTTCATTTATTTTTATTTGTTCGCTCTGAGCTTCCACCGCCTGCTTGCACCTCTGTAGTGAATTGCAACGCGGTATGTTAAAAACCCGATTTTCGCGGGCCGGCTCAAGTGCCTTAGAAGCGTTTGCTTACATGCTGTGATAGAAGTTACATGTTTACCTTCAATAATAAACCTAATTATTTAAATTTAGCTAATTATTTCGCGAATTCCAATTTTTTGCAATGCCCGATGTCTTTCGTGAATGGCAGTTTATTTCCGAAAATAGTCTTTTTGTTTATTTCTTCTCTCAACCATCCTAATCATTGGAATTTTTGAAAAGTGCGCGCGCGAGCACCCGATTTGTTGTCTTGAATTGGTCCTGCGGTTGGAAGAAGGGATATTTCAAACTTTATCCCTGCATCCAAGAAATATATGTAGTGTTTCGGAACCCGTAGCTGGTATCCGCAATGCTACTCTGGAAACGATCTAGCGAACATAGAACGTTCTTGCAGTTCTGTTATATTCTTGTTATTCAAGATTGGGAAGCATGCGGGTCTACGCAATAGTATGTTGCTGTTTTCCTATCAGCCTTGAAAAAAAAAATGAAGAGCCTTCCTGCTGCATTAATCAGCCTGTTCAAAGTACACCGTTATTGGAATGAGAAGGGTCATGGGTGCTCATCTTTATGTGCAATTGTGAGGAAGTTCATTTCTGCGCGAATTGAAGGGGTACACCGGCGCTTTCTTCATTGTCCCCGATTTGCCTAAAAACTTGCTAAACGCACCAACAAACATCGCTGAAATAGTCACCCAAATATTTGGTTACGCTCTAGGGAAATGCAGTTCCAGAGTCACCGCATAGACGGCACCAGCGTGCCAGTGTGTTCTCTTGTTCTAAGATATTTTAAGAGGTTTCAAGGCACTCGGTTCTAAGAAGTGCAAGTGTGTGAACGGGCCTCTACGTCTTCTTGTTATGGCGCACTGCACGAATCTAAGCGTCAAGGGCTCTATGCGGATCGATGAGTTTTAAGGGAAAAATTAATTAAACATCTCAGTTCGCCCCGTGTTTTTGTTATATTTGTGTTAATGTCACGCGTATCGGCTGACGTACAGTCAGCACGAAATGAAACCCGAACGCCGAAACGCATGGCCATCGATACAGGGTGCTCCACCTGGAGGGCCCCTGAAAACTAATGAAAATGCACCTAGGTGCGAGGGTGCGGGTCCTACTAAGGTGTCCTCAACCCTCGCGCGGGGCGTCTGGGACTTCCGCGTTTCGCCGGTGGCGCGCTGTAAGCTCCGTCGCCGCACTGTCGCCCCACTGTCGCCCGGTCAACACCGGGCGGCCGCTTAACCTGGCTATTGGCGACGTGCGCGACCGAAAGCGTCGCTGTAATCGGCCTTCCACGATTGGCCCAAAAGCTGACTATGACGTCGGAAAGGGTATACTATCGACGGAAATAAGAGCAATAAAAGAACTTCAGTTTCGACGGTGTTGGCAGTGTTGCTTTGAGAGCGCAATGATTTCAGGCTTCCAACGTGCTATTTACAAACACCATCGAATTTGTTGTTCGCAAGGTAATGACGTCACAAGGGGGAACCATAGGAGGGCGCCACCGAAACATCTCGCCGCTATGGACACCATATTTGAGGTCGATGTTTAGAGCGCATGCTCAGAACGAGCTCACATTAATAGCCTGCTAAGACCGGCAACCTTGATGGTGCTAAATGATGCACGCTCCAAAAGGACTGCGGAAGCTCGACGTCAGCACGCGCTCAGCAGCAGCGCACATGAATATGGCCGCCAGTGAATACTCCCTATAGCTCTTTGCGATAAGCCCTGCTCAGACAGGCTGATGAATTTATTCCGCTCCGGAATTGATACGCCTGGCATGTCGGTGGTTACCAAAGAGAGCGTCAGCAAGCAATTCTTCGCTTTTTAAGAATCGATTGATAACCTCGCACGAAAAGATGCGCATTGCTCATAAAAACCGAGGCATCCGCGTCAGTCTGTTGCAGCTTTTTTTTTTTTTTTCATAAAGAGTATGGTTGTGCGAACAAACGAATTTTATTTCTCGTTTATGACGTTTCACTATTTCTCAGAAAGCGCGCGTGGCACGTTGTTCACCAGAGCCCCAGCGTGGTTCCGTTGACATATCATCAAACACTACGGGCCTTCCGTGCACGAAATGTTTCAATTTTCATTTCGCCCTTGCGATACACAAAGCTATAATGAATGACAGTGCTGAGGAGATATCACTGGGAATCCGGTACACAAAGCGAGCGACAGTGCTTTTTGTATCGCATATGACGGCGCTTACAGCGCGCCACCGGCGAAACGCCAAACTTCCAGACGCGCCGCGCGAGGGTCGAGTTTATCTTAATAGGACACGCACCCTCGCACCCCGGCACATTTTCATTAATTTTCAGGGGCCCTCCAGGTGGAGCAACCTGTATCAACGGCCACGCGTTCCGGCGTTCGGGTTTCGTTTCGGGCTGACTGTACCTAATGACGCAAGCAATCTCCTTGCGGATATCTGGTTTTATGATTTCGTGTTTAAAGACAAAAAACGATGCCTCAGTTTTTCAAGGAATAATTTTATTGCACCCAGTTTTACTCCAAGCATTGTACCTTGCTGCGCACCATATACTATTACAAATTAAAAGGATTGTCGTAGGGTGCCCTTCTACATTTTTCGTCGTTTCACGTCGTTTTGTGGGAACCAACAATTGATCATCAGCATCCATGCTCATATACGTTGACACAGCGGCGGTAACCAAAAAGTCTGGTGTAAGCGGGATTAATGAAAAGAGAACAAATGAGAATCTCTGACAGATCACGAAATACAAGGCTAGGCTTATTATGGCCTCTTGCTTCTTGATTTGCTCTTCGACTTTCTTGTCGACTAATGCTGCAATGTTATTGGCCAGTGAGCGATAGTAAGATCCGAAAGACCTGTCACGCCCTGCGTTTCTTAAGATATCTCTAACTGAATTGCACGCACAAACGGCTGCAGAAGTAAAATTTTATATCAGAACGCGAAAGTTCTGTCATTCCGTGCTATATATATATATATATATATATATATATATATATATATATATATATATATATATATATATATATATATATATCACTTCGTGAAGCGAGCGGGGTTCTTAATTAATACCTGTAACCTGATCGCGGGGACGCGGCAGATGAGGTTCTTTCAGCGTTTGTCGCTGATTAAGATTTCTGAGAGGGATATTAATACACCGCTCGGAACAATGCATTACTCAAAGCGAATTTCGTCCGGACTTCTGGCTGGTCACTGATTGACAAAATTCGCATCATTGTTATTTCTTTCGTAAGAAGTTTGAGGAAAATTTGATTATTTATTGATGATACTTTAAATTAACACAGAATATATGTAAGGATAGTACATATTAACTCGATGCGCCTTACTTTTCTAATTTCAGAAGGCTACATCATTTGCTTGGGTCGTGATTCGCGCGCAAGATGGACAATAAGCCAAATATAAATCTAGGTCAGTCGACAGTATACTAAAATCGTTGGTCATATATTACAATTCACTTATGTTAAGGATTTAATGAACTGAATACCGATGATCGTAATTCTTTAAAAAGCTATTGCAACCACCGAAATCTAGATCAGAGAATGGTGAGAGGCTAATAAATTAGGCTTAAATTTTTTTACGCGATTCGTTTCAAGAGCACGAATAGCTTCCCCACTGAACTTAACTATTGCCTAAAATATGCAATTTTATAGTGTATGACCCTCTGCAACGTAAAAACTGCAAAAAAAAAAAAAAATCTTAACCCCACAAAAAAAAAAAAAAGAAAGAAAACTCATTTTCTGTTGGGAGGAGCTTGGGAGTTTGTGTGTGTGAGTGAGTGTGTATGTGTGTGTATGGACGGAGCTGCAGCTGTTAGGTCGTCGTAAAAATGATATTAAGGATGTTATGTGGTTGTGAAAGGCTGTGAGAGCACTAATCACCGGAATTTAAGTTGCGGAGTGAGGACGGAGACGCCTAGCAAAAAGCCAAGGCCGTACCCGGACACAGAGTGCGAAAAAGTGCGGTTCGTGATGAGAGCTGGGATTAAAACAAAAAGTCGAAAAGAGGAATGAAATCGGCCCGGAACTATGTGGGACACGACTCTGTGAAATCAGCGCGCTATAAAACTCTGTCCCGCGAGTCCTCTGTTGCCACAAGAGAGTTTGCCGACGCAACAGAAGAAGCTCCGGGACTTACGCATCTCCGAACGTTTTCAGCGACGTCTCAGTCTCGCGCCTCCAACATGACTGGAAAGGTGAGCGATTTTTTCATCGCTCAAGTTTAGTCTTATATTTAAGGAAAATTATTTCAGCTTAGTGTAAAGTAAAAAAAAAAGGCTACTTGGCCACACATATTGGTCATGTGTGAACTTGCGCGTCAAATTTCCGCTGTCGAACTAAAGGAGTCCCTCCTGTGGACTTTACAAGTTTAAAACTATTTACCCATTTCACCAATGTGCTGAAGCATTTAACAAGTATCAATTGTATATGCTTCATTTCTAGCATATTATATTTTAGCATATAGCAGTGTTTACTCACGCTTCCACACACAATAGTGAATAGTTCTTTTGCCGAATCGTTAATCTGAGAGGCTTCAGCATCGCTTCTCAGTGTTATAAACATGTTGAAATTAACGGTATGATGCCTCACTGCGCCCCTTTTGGCCTTGCCAAAGAACGAACGAGGTTTACAACTTCCTGTGACGCCGATTTAGAGCGCAGCTTTTGAGGAGGAGGAGGGGAGGGCACTGAAAGAGGGGTATGCGCCTCCTCCATCCGGTACCCTCTTCTGCACCCCTCCTCCTCCTTTCACGCGCAAAACGCGCGTCGTCACGCCACGTTTTGGCGCGGTGCCGAAACGTCACGTGACGCTTTGATGAAGTCACGCGACGTTTCGGCACGTGACTTCCACCGAAACGCCAAGGGAACGTTTCGGCACTGTGACGTTTCGGCACGGTGACGTCACTCGCACTGAAACTTCACGCGACGTTTCGGCACCCTGCCGAAATGTCACCGCGGTGCGTTACGGGACGCTTCCCATAATGCACCGCGCGATTACGCCGACGGTGACGGCGACGCCGACGCCGCTCAAGCCGGAAACGGGCGCGTAAAAGCTGCGCTCTAAAAATAAACGAACGTTTAAGCTTTCCATTGGTGTGCTGTTATTCGGCCCGTTTCGGATGGTTTTCTCTACTTTAGGTAGCGTTCCTGTGCCTGCTGTCCTCTGTTTTTGCCGGGGATCGCTTCCTCCGACCCGGTTTTAATCAGGCACGGTTCAGCCAACCAGGATTTGCGTCGGGTGCTGCTACCGTCGACCCAGTCTACGTACGTCTACCTTGTGCTCTTTTAAAGTCTTTGGTCTAAAGCAGAGCCAGGGAGTCCTGAAGACGTTCTGCAACAGAGTGCGGTTATTTTTCATGTTTTTAAACAAGTGGTTTGAAAAGCACATACAAAAAAACATCTAAACGTGCTTAACAGATACAGGCGCCTAACTTAGCCCTGTGAATTAGAGCGATATTTGATAATATACCTATCACAGGTCACACCTAGCTGCTTTCAAATATTGAGTACAAAAGTAGAAAACTAGAGTGGTGAAAAGAGGCTTACCCGCCCCTTTTAAATTTTCGACAATATGTGTATTTTAAGATTATGCTTTATTTATTATATACCAAGCGCTCTCCTCTGCAGCATATATTTTGGTTTCATGTGAGCTCACATGTCCTATGGTGCTCACGCAAAAGAAGGCTATCCTAGGACTTCGTGCTTATCCTTCGCCATGATGTTAAGTTTAAATTAAAAATATTTGCAATAGTGAGGTGTGGAAGGAGGACTTAAAGCGGTAGCTTTATAAAGCCAACCATCCTCAAGTTGGTTGGCCCTACGAGCACGAAGTGTGTAGGTAGGTTAGTCCGTAAACGATAAACGATCTTGAAAAAAAAAAACTGCAACCCGATGCCAGGGATGAATCTCTTGTGTCCGGGAAGCCAAGTGCGTTGCTGACTGAGCTACGGACCCATCAAGCGGGAACGGGAGGAGCAGAATCAGGAGGTGTGAGAAAGCTCGCGGAGTGGAGAGGGGTGGAAAGGGCAAGAAAGAGATTTGCAGAAACAGGTGGTTTAGAAAGAGCGCGCTAAAGTGGAGAAATGGAAAGGACAAGGATTTTTTGGTGATCCAGAAAATTCAGCGCAAAGGCTTTGTATTCGGATGGGGCTGAAGGGAAGCGCAACCAGCGTCACGAACAGACAAGGGTGGGGCGTATTCTGTTTTCATGCGAAACCCCACCCCAGGCACCACCCGGACTAAGAGCACACCCCACCCTAGGTACTGTAAGACTAAGGGTCATCCTGCCCTAGGCACCCTCCGAATCGAGAACCCCAGCCGCGCTACAAAGCTCCCGCATTCATTTTGCTTTTAGCTTTTTCTATGCCTCGGTACTTCTTTTCAATTGATGTTACCGATTGTTCGCTGCAGTTCTCGTTCAAAATATACATGTCTGAAATAATAATCTTCTTTGGATTTTATCCTGCTTTTCACAAGAAAGCAAAAAACGGGATGATGTTTGTGTCCGGATTGCCTCACTGCAATGACATGAATAGCCTTCCCGTCTTTGGGGGCAAATATTCATGGCGATTAATACATTGCCCCTAAAATTGCGTTGGTTTTTGTGATTGTCACAAGCAAGAGTAACCTACTTCAGAAGAGCTCTGACTTGACTGATTATTATGGTGCACATCAATCGCAGGCGCCGCAGCCGTACAGCTTCGGCTACGACAACGTGGACGAGTTCGGCACCAAGCTGTTCCACAACGAGCAGGGAGACGCCAATAACGCCAAGAGGGGCAGCTACGGCTACACGGACGCCAACGGGCTCTTCCGCCGCGTGAGCTACGTAGCCGACGCCAACGGCTTCAGGGCCACCGTGGACACCAACGAGCCGGGCACCCAGTCCGGGCCCACCGGAGACGCCGTCTTCAACGCTAACCCCGTGGTCGTCGGCCCTGGCGTCGGAACGGCTTCGGCTTTCGCGGCGCCAGGCTACGCGGGGAGGAGTGCCGGTGCGATTGGATACGGACGCCCCGGATTGGGATCCAGGTGGTGAATGGCCTTGCCAAGAGCCGCATGACGTGAACCAAGGACGGTCGTTGTGCATCACGTGCCGCAAAGTGTCTTAAATTGAAAATACTTTTATTAAATTCCGAGTCACTTTTTTTTATTGCTGATACCTGATGTATGCACATGTAATGTGGGTGAAGTAGTTATAAGGGGGGTTGAATAGAGTTAAAGTTGCGCAACGTACCCGGCTGCTAGAAATACCTTGTACGTAGACCTAAACTTTCTTGATTTGTACAGATTGTGCTGACTGGAGTTGAGTCATTTGTAGGTAGTAAGGCAAATAAAAAACAAATTGAAGTTAATTTTGACTTATCTTTGGCCCAAGTTGTTCCACAAAACTTAGCTCCAGCTGGCTTCATCGCTGTGTGAGCTACGTCGCATACGTCAAAGGCTTCAGGACATTCTGGGCATCGACAAACCGGGTACCTACTCGGGGGGCACTGGTGACGCCATCTTCAATGCCACCTTCATTGTCGTCTGTCCTCACGTTCGGATAATTTTAAATTTTCACGTCACAAAACTACAGAAGGAAGGTTACAAGTTCCGCTTACGGCCGCGACAGATACAAGCATGGCGGTTACGGTGTTAGGCGATACGGATGGCATGATGTGGGTCATCACGGATACAAATCAGATCTTGATCTGGAATTCACTACACATTTCCAACTTTTGACCTCAGGAAACTTTTTTTTTTACATTTTGAATATGGTACTCCTCCGGTAACACATTATTTTAATTTTATTTTTATCATTTTTATCTTGTATCAGTTTTACAACGGAAATACAAAGATTACAAAGTGAAAACCGCAGAATCATAAAATGCAATCTTATTTGCACATCTAGCCTAAAAAATTAATTTTTTACACATATTACGTTTTGTATATTCCAGAAATCGTTGACAAACACCCCATCAAGATGGATTAGTACTGGCTGTATTCTGAACGTTGGTTCTAGCGAGAAGAGTGGATTTTGAACCGAGTCTACGCCGGATGATTACACGACACTTGTGTCCGATGCATTTAAACCCGAATTAGCGACGAACACGGAGTATCGATCGTGTCCATTTCATACTCAGAGTGCGTGCCCAAGATATTCCGGTTCCGGATTATAGGCAAAGCAGCTACTGGATGTAGCACACCTTCGTAAACGGTGAGTTTGGAGGGGGGGGGGGGGGGGGGGGTGAAGAAGTTTTTTTTAATACGTCATGCTCCTCTCATACTACTCTCGAGTCTCTATAACATATTAAAAACTGTAAATTAACCTTTATTTCAAGAAAAGGCGAATATTATAAGCCAGTCTGAGTCGGGCGTTGTAGTTGGTTGTAGCTTCGAATACATCCAACGCACTTGATGCTGTAGTGGTCCTCATCACACAGACTTCAATATTAACAGACAGACCTCATAAATTTCAGTTGGGAAGGAAAGCGCTATATTGCGTGGTTTTGTGTGCATTGAGATAGTATTATAAAAAAGCATGCTTTACAATGACTCGTAGTCGCTACTATTTTGCAGCGACTATAGCCATCAATGCCATGTAAGAGACAAACGTTGGTAAATACCTTTACAGAAATAATACTTGAATGTCATGTAGGTATTCGTTCTTCGTAGAAGAAAGTTGCAATGTTATCTAGGAATACATTGTGAAAATAACTGATTCCGTCTACTTACGTTATGCTAAAGTTCATCTAAATGACAAAAAATATTATTTTTGCCATCGCGCCCTTTAGAGTTGAGAGTTTTTGCTTGTACATCTTGTAAAGAGAAGTGCTTAAACACGAATAAACTTATCTGTGTGAAGTGTGGTGGGGACTTGCAGAGCCATTTGTCTGGGTGCCGGCAGTGCCTGCTATTTCGAGGTCTCCGTCAAGTATGTCTAGAGAAAGTTTCTTTGAGTTGTTAAAAACAAGAGACGAACAAGATGTTCACTCTTCATCCTCAAGGCGCAAACTAAGCGCCCGTAGATGGAAAAATTACTAGCAGAAAGTAATTCAATTACATTACTAATTACATTCTTGGTGACCGCGAATATGTAATTAAGCTACCTTACAAATTACCGCAGGATAAAAGTAATCACATTACATCACAATTACTTCTCGAATTTGAGGAAGTAATTTGTGCTCATTTTATTGAAAGTAGATGTGATGTACCAAAACTCAGATCTTCCTGTTTACAACGCAACAGCCTCATGTGCCTAAAAGTGATACAGGCTCACACGACAGAAGTGGTAAACAGGAGGAATAGCTACTGCTTTAGATGCAACTTTCAGGTTCACCGGTTTCGCGGTTCGTTCAACGGTGAAGGTTCTTAGTTAAAGGGTGATGCGATTCCGTCTTCCTGATTTTTGAAAATGTTATAGTCGGTAGCAATAACTAAAGTCGCAGCATGGGAGCTCGTTCTTACAAGAAGTCTTCATGTGAAACTTCTTCTTTTGGCTCGGATGCAGTCTAATTATTTTCCACCAAGCTCACTAGTTGACGCATTCCACGGCATTTCTCACGAGGAGTATTTTTCTATAACACCCAAAGAGCCCAAGTTATTGCGTGTTGTCACACAAGGGAGCCGGATGTTTGCTGGGCAGAAACGTCGACAGATGAGGAAAAGGATGGCACGAGCTTTTTAAACTGTGTACTTTCCCGACAAACGTGTGGCTATATCATCTCGTTTACCTATTCCCGAATATACTCTCTAAGGAAAGGCAGATATTCATACAGCGAACAGCACCTATTTTTTTTTCGCTTCTCGTCTTTTCCGGCTGCAAAAGAAAGCGCCTTTATTTTCCAGGGCTACGACGAAATTTTGGGGCCTTGACAAGGCATTTGGGATTAACTATTTATTCCAGCCATTTGTTGTTAACAATAGTCGAAGTTTACGGTTTGAACTTGTTTGACGGAAGAGCAGAAAGGCTGGACATCTGAGTGTCCGTCCTCTCAAGTTTTAAAATGTGTTGACCTCTCTGGTGACGTACCCTTCACATTGAAGCCTTTAAGCCGTTCACCTCCAAGCTGACAGTGCAGCGGCAGCTACGTGCTCGTTGAACCAGCCACACGTTTATCTATCGCCACGTAGTCACGATCTTGTTCCTACCCAAGCGCAGAGAAGCGGTCAGGTGATGAAAGGAGCGAGCTTGACCGGTTCCAGTCAACTCGTAGCTGCCACCGCACTGTCATTGGGACGAACGAGGTGCAGCAGGGTCGGGATGACGTGGCGCCGTGAATCTGCCTTGTCCAAAGTCCGTGCACGCCGTCGTGGCCTTGCAGCGATGTCTTCACGCGAAAGCTTTTCTCCATGTCCATCGACTTTCAAGCCCGCCTTTCTGCGTCTGTCGTATACTTCGTATGAGGTTTTGCGCTAAGATGGCCGCCTGTTAATTCCTCTGATGTCTCTTCAACATTTCACCTTACAAAATAATTGTTCTCTTTTTCTTCGTTAAACTGGCAAACGAACTATCTCATTTCGGGGAAAAAATTAATTTCAAAAGTGATGAATAATTTTCTCTAAATTACTGCGTGAAACTAATTCATAACATCGCTTATTTACCAGCCTAAAAAGTAATTAATTATGTTACTCATTACCATAAAGAGTAATTTATTTCGTGCAATTTTATAACAGTAATGCCATTACTGCCATATCTGGTTATTTCTATGCTCCGTTCACCTAGAAGATGATAAAAATTTCGCTCGCTGGATCAATCTGTCGTATGCCTTTTGTTGCCTTACACTGCTCTCCGAAGGTGAGCGTGCGTGATTGTATGGTTAAAAAGAGGCGGTTATTTGATTCAGCGAGCTATGGTATTTCATCTCCCAATCAGCTTCGCGGGGATTCAGTTTTAGTAGTGCCGTCAGTTTTGTGAACGAGGACGACATAAAAGAGGACTAGGCCGGAAATTTGAAGGTATCTGTGCGGGAAACCTAGAGCAGCTAATGGGTGGTAGTTAATTGTTAAAAATATCCGTACTCACGGTATGTAGCTTTCAGATTCAGAAACCGACTCTTCGCCGAAACGGACTTGCAGTAAATAAATGTCTCGATCAATTGTATCGCCTACGAAGGTTTTTGCTTCCTTTACGAATGAAACGATCAGCTGCGGCCTAAAGGCTACGATCCAACCACCAATGGCAAAGTGCGCAGAAATTACCCTGACCATAAGAGAATCTGTTCCAAGCACAATGTCCTTAGGACAGAACAGAGATAAATAGGAACCGGTGACAGCGAACTTCGCAATTCCAGCGAACTCTACGGAATGTCGAAACAAGACATTATAACAAACTTACAGTGCTCTATTACCCAGTGGGTCAAATCGTGGGGTGCCACAACGACACGGTCAAGGAGTGCCTCCAGGCAATACTGCGACAGCCGCCGAGATTGGGACGGGCATATTGCCGAAATAGCTTTTGCTATGAAGACGTCGAAGAGTGTCGCAACGGTGTAGCACACCGGAATTTCTCTGCGATGGAGGAGAACTTCGAACACCGTGGGAATCGCCACGTGAACCAAACGGCTTGGAACCCCTGGCCTCAGTCGCTCATGCCTTCGCAGCTGAAAAAAACCTCCAGGACGCCTTCCAGTTTATTATGCCTAATCAACAAAAAAGTTGAAGCAACGTAGGGACTTCTATTCAGCAAACACCGGCAGCCAGTTGCGCTTAAAGTTTCAGATTTAATTTTGCGAAAGCTGCACACATTAGGTGACGTCACTAACTTAGTTGAAGCGAAGCTTGCAGCACGTCTGTTAGGCCCGCTCTGAACAATCGAACAACTCGGCACCCTTCGACTCCTTGTTAGGTGATCCTCTCTCTGGTACGCAGGTGGAATGGCCTACACCAGTGGTTCTCAAATGGGGGTCCGCGGATCATTTGGGGTCCGCGAGGGCATTCTAGGGGTCCGCGAAGCCCAGCCTCATCGGTTGAGCCCGGCAATAAAAGTTGTCTTTTCTCAGATTGAGAAGAAATGTTCAAATTCCTGTGTGAGTTTTCTCATGTGTGTGTCAATAAAAAAAGTCTACTTCACGCTGGCCCTTAGT